TAAAGTTATTTAGCTAGTCAAATTATATTTTCTATGTAATTGGGTAAAAAATAAAAGTAAAAAATAAAAGTTACTGTAATATCAAATAATTATTAATGTAGTATTTTATATTATAATAATAGTTATTTTTTAAAATATTTTTTTATTTAAAAATATATTAAAATATTTTTTTATTTTTTAAAATTTATTTTTGACATAAGTACATCAAAAAAATATAAAAATATTAAAAAATTTAATTTTAAATAAATAATATTTTTACCGCAATATCAAATACTATATATGTGTTAACTTTTCTCCCCTTAATTATTATAAGAATATAATAAATAAAAGTGGATATAATTCTTTTTATTTTTCATACGGTTTATAATAAAAAAAATAAAATTTATTACACTCAAAATCTTACAAAGAGAATTCAAAAAAAGCTGTGAGAGAACTCTCAAGTTAGTTAACTAATAATCAATCATTGAAAACGTACAAAATTAAATGAGTAACTCCCGTTAGTTTACAAATAAAATATAGAATCAACATCACATCCAAAATAATAAAAGCAAGTAAAGGAAATATACACACACTCACGAGAAGATGCTTGCTTGTTCTATACGAAAAAACCTTTTTTTATTTTTTTTATTTTCTCTGTTGGGCATTTTGTTGAATCCAGACTTAAATCACAGCGGCTAGCATTAATAGATATATTTTTTTTTTAATTGCTAAAAATAGTATTGATTGAACCCTAGTCCTGGATCCATTTTAATTTGTTTCTAGAACTTCTTCCACTTGACAACATTCTTTAATGCTTCATCACGCATTCAAAGACACCAAATAAAAGAGCTTTGATTGAAGATGGAAGTTTTTATCATCTTTACGCTGAATCAAGGCAGATCTTACCTCGTTTGCTTGATAAACAGGCAAATATCATTCAGACAAATGCCACCAATCTCTTAGCATTGCGATTAACATGCAATAAACTAGTCTACAAATCTAAGTGCCCTAGCAACAAGACATGCACATGCACTAGATAGCATGTCAACATATCAAGATAAAAAGAATGTGTTTTTTCTATCTATTTTATTCAAAATAATAAAAATTCATTTTAAAATTATCCTAAAATATATTTGTTTGTATATGTTTTTATTTTTCTCTTTAATTAAATATGTTTTTATCTATTTTATATTTATTTTTTTACTGTAAGACATTATTAATTTAAAAGACAAAATATTTTTGAAATACAAAAATAAATAATTTTTTTAATTCGAGAAAATCTCACTCCTCCAAAAAGCACGCTTTGTGAACTCAGGTAAGCGAGTAAAATCTCGGTTGTTCTAGATTTTTATAAAAAATACATATTTTAATTCAAATTTAAAATTTGTTGCAGATTTTAAATTCTTTGCCACCGTGCCATGGTTCTTGAAGGTAAAAACAAATAAGCTCATAACTTGAACCTAAAATGATAGTTAAGCTATTAACATAAAAAAGAAAGATGCCTAAACATGGTTTTATTAGGTATAAAGAAGATTCGATTGTTTTTTCAACTTGGGAAATAATTCAGCATACCTCCATGTAACCCTCTTTAATGTTAACGAGCATGGCTAAAGAGGAAGCATCCAAAAAGGGATTGTTAGTACATGAAAAGGATCACGTGAATGGAACCGAGCACCAAAAGCCAAATGGATACAGCAACTACTTCCACCATGTGAGATGGGGACTCTTGCTCTCTTTTTATCTATATATGTTGCCAAATCTAGGAGAGAGTTCTTGTTATAGAGAAAGTGAAAAATTCTCCACACCCATTTGAGGCAAAGAGAAAATTATTCTGGTTAAATAATCATGATTTTTAGAAGTATTTTTTATTTGAAAATATGTTAAAAGAAGTTTTTTTAATGATATTAGTATATAAAATCATTAAAAAACTAAAAAATATTAATTTAATATTTTTTAAATAAAATATGATTTCAAAACATATTCAAAATTAAAAATTACTGCACTCGCATTCACTCATTATTTGTGGCAAAAGAGATTATAGTAATTTTGGTTTTGCTGAGTTGTGCCCTAGTTTAATTATTAGGTACGGGAAAGGGACTCCTTGCTCCTTCAGTTCATTTAGCCTCATTTACCACCTTTCTAGTTTTGGAAATTGACAATCTTGAAAGATTTATTAAATTATTTATATATAACATTGGTGTTTTTCCCTTTTTTTTAATGATGATATTAGTCATCAATTAGAGTTGATAATTTGAAAATTCTGTAGTGTTTAATATTATAGCAGCAATTATTTTTTAAAATGTATTTTGCTAAAAAATATATTAAAATAATATTTTTTATTTTTAAAATTTTATTTTTAAAACCAACATATATAAATAATCTAACAAAAAAAAATAACTTAAAAAATAAAAAAGAACATAAAAACAAACATGCCCTGTATCAATTATATAGATTAATTTTTTTTATTTTTTCAAGATAAAATTCAATATTAAATTATGAATTTAAATATAAAAAAATACATCTCGAAAATGTTTGGATAAACTTTGCCATTTAAAAATATCTATTCCATTTTTTAAATTCTATCCATTCATCTTGGACCTCGAGAAGAACATTCAAATAGAAATTTTTATATAAAATTCTGCTAATTCTATCCATTCACATAAAAAATAAAAAAGTTGTTCCATCTAAAAATCTCAACAGCTAGATAGAAGTGGAGGTGTGCAAATTATGCTGATTCCAGAATCAGTGGAGGAGATGTCATCTGGGGAGAAGACATCAATCATCGCGGTTTCCAAAGCGTTTATTACCTCTGTTCTTGTGTAGCTGCGAGCTTTGATGATAGCAGGCAGGCAAATATTTTCCTATTTTTTACCTCTTCCAGTCAACTTCTTCTTTATCTAATCCTTATTCACGCATTTCATAATCATTGCCCAGCCCATCTTTAAAAACAAAGATAATGCAGGTGACTTTCGTGTTTGATTGACAAACAATATTATTATAGGGCTAGGACCTTCCCCAATTTGCCACCTAATTAATTTACATAACAGGAGTAGCTTAACATTAGGTTATCCACTTTTTCTTTTTCTTTTTTTAATTTTAATATATTTATGATAATTATAAAACTCGATTCTAATGCAATTGGGTTCAAAACCTAGGTTATTAAATTAAAAGATTACTCTAAATTATAGTATTACTAATCATTTTGTGAATTATTAGACATGCTTAAATTTTAGAATAAAAAAATAGACTAAAGTAATATTAATTTAAATAAAAATTAATAAAAAAATGAAATTAATTCAATTGATTTTTTTAGCTGGATTTAACTGGTTTAATATTCTTTCAGCTTTTTTTTTTATTTCATGTGTTGAAGCCCTTTAGAGGATTCTAGATTATTATTTTGTACTTCAACTATATTGCAGGTGAGATTAACTTTTTTTTAATATATATATATATATATATAAAGATTTGTTAATGATTTTTTTAATAAAAAATTTAAATTATAGAAATTATCTCAACTAAAAATAATTTAAATAACCCATACAAATATAAATATAGTATGAGTCAATTAAA